AAAAAGATAAACGAAAATTTAAAAAAAAAACGGAATTAGAAATAATAAAGAAAAAAACTGAAAAAATGGAAATAGATGTATTAATTAAATTTGAATTGATAGATGATAATTATTAATTAGCATAAATTTAGGAGATTCAAACTAATTAGGAATATTTGTTTTCCTTAATTCACTCTAATCTGTTAAAATTAATTTAAAAGTTTTATTTTATTCATTTTCAAAAAAAAACAAAATAAAACCAGATGTAATTGGTGTTGGTGCAACATTTAATGATATTTGTTTTAAATTGTAAGATTCATTTATTCCAGTATTTATACAGATTGTATACAACTTCATACATCTTTAAAAATACTTAATTCACGCTTGTTAAGACAATATAATTTATAATTAGGTTGTAAATTGTCCAGGATGAAAAAAATGTAATTGAGGTTGTTACAAAATACAATTATCACTATTTTACATTGGCATAATCGTTTATACAAGGTATTTATACATGTTGGATACCAATTTCATTTTTTTTTTTTTTTTTTTTTTTGTGTTAGAATATGAATTTGGATGCCAAAGGTGTACATTTTGGATACCAATTATAAGTCAGAGTTGATTCATGAACTCTAAATTAGTAGTATGATTTCTTTCTAGTTATTAAGACATTGTAAAATCATAAACTCTAAATGTTGAATCCAATTTGTATGCATTTTGTATATAACTGTTATCTCGAGAATTATTATAGTCAATGTGTAATTTATCTTTAGAATGGTGTATCCATTTGGAATGCAGTCTGTATATAACTAGTATCATGTGATTACAATAGTCAATCTGTAATTCATATGTAATTGGTATCTTTTTGAAATAAAACAGTGGATATTATATATATCAAATACTTAAAGCTGTAACAAACACAAAAATATCGTCCAAAAGTAAAAAAAAAACTTGTAATTCTAAAAAGTCTAAGGTGCAATCAACTATCTCAAATTTGATCTCCGTGGTCTTGGTGTGGGATAATTGCTGGTATTCGGAGCATGTTCTTTTGCTATGCGGGGTCCATCAAATTTGCTAGCAACAGTGCCAGTTACTTCACTCTCATTGGTCGCGCCATCATCATTCTTTGTTTTTCCATAATGTCATATGATTGTGGCATACCTTTGACAATGGTACTTTGCATCGATATCAACATAACGCATATCAAAAACTCCATTACTGATATATTCATCAAATAGACACGTGTACAAATCACAATCACTGAAAAATTTTTGAAAGAAAAATCATTTTATACCATTTTCATACCAATGTTAAAAATTTAAATACATTAATGAAGAAATTGAAAAAGAAACCTTCCTATTAGAAAAAATCCCAATTTCATATCAATATTAGACATAATTCATACAAAACAGAGTAATTTAACAATTCATACCATTTGCATACCAATTTAACAACTCATACCATTGGGCTACTGATATCAAACCAATTCCATACCAATGTCAAAACACAATTCATACCATTTGCATACCAATATTATATCACATTTCATATAATATCCCAAAATCATATATGAAAGTCAGATTCATATAAATATTATTCACATTTTGTACAAGTTTCACCCAAACAAAAGTTTCGAAACAACAATAAGCATAATGTGATATTTTTAGCAAAAAAATCACTAATTTGAATAATGTGAAAATAAATTAAATATAATACTTACCCTAACAATTTTTTTTGCCTTTTTTGGATATTCGAATTTCTGATTCCTTCTTTTTTGTTGTTCTTCTTATTGATGGTTTTGAAGATTGAGCAATTTCTACATTTGTTGCTTTTTTTCTTTTTTATTTCACTAACAAAATCAGAATTCGAATCAAAAGGGGTTTCTACAATTTTCCCCTTCCTCTTCTTTCCCTTTTGATTTGCCGGACTCACCATTTTCTTTGCTTCGTTTTTTTTCTCCTTTTGATCCTTCGACTAAGAGGAACCACACTTTGCAGGAATTTCAACATTTTTCGTGTGTAGATCTCATTCCACCATTAAATCATATAAATGTGGGAGTTCTACTGGGTTTTTTTTTTGAATGAAGAAGACGAACGTTGAAGATGGTGAGAGAGAAAAAGTTAGTTCTCTGTAAAAGAGAAACGTGGGCGTGGGGGTGGGGGTGGGGGATTTACGTGTGGGTAAAAGAGGAAGGTGGGGGTTGCTGTGTGAAATCTGGAAAAAAATCCCTAAAATGGTGTAAGAGATAATGACAATTGATTCTCTAATATTAATGTTATCCCTAAAATGGTGGAAGAGATAATGACAATTGATTCTCTAATATTAATGTTATTTCTCTTACTTATTAATTATAATGTAATTATAAAAATAATAACTAATTAATTAAATAAAATAAATTAAATTATAAATTAAAACTAATCTGTTAATATTTGTAATTAAACTGTTATAAGTAGTAATATAAAAAAAATACATCTAAAGGCATAAGATATATGAGGTGATTTTTCCTTTTATTTTCTAGTTGTGTAAATAATAGGAAGTTTTTAAAGGCGGGGGATATATACTATATAGTTGTTGCCTGAATCAAATGAGTGGAAGAAGTAAGAAAGAAAATTTAAATGAAATATGATGGAGAAATACATTGTCTTTGTTACGTATAAATAAATAAAGAAAAAGAAAAATCATTTGATTGCAATTAACCTTGGATATTTATTTGTGTTGGGTGAGAAGATGTTTCTTCTTGTGGTTGAAGGCAGACCTTAATCCTTATGCCCCAAGAATTCAGCACAAACCAGCTGGGAAATGAACCCAAATATGCATTCACACAAACAAATAAAAAAAGTGATAAAGAGTGGGGTATTAAAAAAGTCTTTTTTTTTAAAAAAAATGAAACTTGTTTTTACATTTTTTTGGGATAATGGGTGGGGGGTTTGGTAGGGCATAGGGGGTGGGTTGGTAAATTTTTTCAATTTTTTTTTATAAAAAAATTTATTGGAAAAAATTTAAAATTTTGTAACTTTTTTTTGGATGGGGTGTGGAGGGGGGTGGGGTGATAATTTTTTTCAAAAAAATACTTTTTTAATGAAAAAATTTAAAATTTTGTTAATTTTTTTTTGGGGATGGGGTGTAGAGGGGGGGGTGGTAGGGGGTAGGGGGTGTGGAGGGCTGGTAAGGAAGGTGGGGTGGTAATTTTTTTTAAAAAAATTTTAATGAAAAAATTAAAAATTTTGTTAATTTTTTTTTGGATGGGGTGTGGAAGGGGGAGGCGTAGGGGCGGGGGTGGTAATTTTTTTTTAAAAAAATTAATGAAAAAATATAAAATTTTGTTAATTTTTTTTTTGGGATGGGGTGGGGGGGTGGTAGGGGTGGGATGGTAGTTTTTTTTTATATTTTTTTGGGATAGGGGGTAGGCGGAACTGGTAGGGGTGGAGAGAAGTGATGAAAAAAACTTTGTATATGTATATATGTTAGATAATTGTATATTATACATATGTATTTGTATATATGGCAAGCGAGATTGGGAGAGGGAGGAGAGAGGCGAGCGAGATTGGGAGAGTGAGGAAAGAGGCGAGCGAGAGAGGGCAGAGAGTGGGAGAGAGGTGAATTGTATATGTATATAGGTTAGATAATTGTATATTATACATATGCATTTGTATATATGGCAAGCGAGATTGGGAGAGGGAGGAGAGAGGTGAGCGAGAGAGGGCAAAGAGTGGGAGAGAGGTGAATTGTATATGTATATAGGTTAGATAATTGTATATTATACATATGTATTTGTATATTCTGGCGAATTATACATATACAAACGTGGCTAATTATACAAACTCGAAGTTAGCCCACGTAATTAATGTATAATATTAGTCGTGAGTGATAATTATAGCAAACTATAGGTATGATGAGTAATTAAGTAATATAAGTTTGCTTAATCGCGTAATTTTTCCCATTAATTATATATAAAATTCTTAAGAAATTCTCGAGGCAGTAAAGGTTCCACAAATTGAAATCAGGAAGAAACTATTAATTAATCTATTTTCTTTACTTATTATATTGGCTCTAAAGATAAGAGGATATGGAAACAAAGGAAGAAGCTTTAACGAGATAGAAAATTATATTACTCCGTTTTGTTCATTACTTAACAAATGCAACAGTATCTTGTACCAAATCCTTTCTCTCTTTTCAAACTTTTCTATTTGGCTGTTGACAGAGTAATCAGGATACAAACCACAAGTATTTAATTGACTCCTCCGCCAGATATTATGATTTATGAATCCTCGAAAAGCCTATCCATTAAGTCCTCATCTATGGATATACTTGAAAGTTTCTTCCTATTTGGGTATTTTTTTTCCTGCCAAGTGGAACGGAGACATGTTATAATGTATACGGGAAGCTCGTTAAAAAAAAATACAATAGGAAGAAATGTAACAAACATTGAATGTTGTTTTTAACCATCCTTCCTTTTGGCAGTGTATCAATTTTGTAATAGAACCATGCATCTCAATCTTAATACTAAAATGCAACTTAATATAGGCTAAACCAAGTAAAGTAATGTATTCAACCTTTAGAATTGTGCATTCATAATTAGATCTTGTTTGTCGTAAAAAATTAGAAAATATATTTACAGTAATTTGGAATACAAAGCTAAGGGGGAAGTAACTAATATTCTAGTGGAGGGAGGGACCAGTACCAGTACCTAGATATTATTTTTAATTACTATAATAATAATTTAATTAACACGAGACATAGGAATGTCAAGTGGTAGCGGTAGGAGGGAGTTGGTTTAGTTTTTTAGATACTAGGAGACAACCGGACGGGCCCATTGCAAGGCCCAAGTTGCAGTCCAGCCGTGAATCAACAAAGAGAGGGCCCATAATACTGTCGATGAGCATTTCCCTATAATACAGTGTCCACAGTTGCCTTCCGCTAAGGGATAGCCACCCGCTATTCTCTTGACACGTGTCACTTAAACCTGCTACAAATAAGGCAGGCACCTCCTCATTCTCACTCACTCACACAGCTCAACAAGTGGTAACTTTTACTCATCTCCTCCAATTATTTCTGATTTCATGCATGTTTCCCTACATTCTATTATGAATCGTGTTATGGTGTATAAACGTTGTTTCATATCTCATCTCATCTATTCTGATTTTGATTCTCTTGCCTACTGTAATCGGTGATAAATGTGAATGCTTCCTTTCTTCTCAGAAATCAATTTCTGTTTTGTTTTTGTTCATCTGTAGCTTATTCTCTGGTAGATTCCCCTTTTTGTAGACCACACATCACATGGCAAGCATCACAGCTTCACACCACTTTGTGTCAAGAAGCCAAACTTCACTAGACACCAAATCAACCTTGTCACAGATAGGACTCAGGAACCATACTCTGACTCACAATGGTTTAAGGGCTGTTAACAAGCTTGATGGGCTCCAATCAACAACTAATACTAAGGTAACACCCAAGATGGCATCCAGAACTGAGACCAAGAGACCTGGATGCTCAGCTACCATTGTTTGTGGAAAGGGAATGAACTTGATCTTTGTGGGTACTGAGGTTGGTCCTTGGAGCAAAACTGGTGGACTAGGTGATGTTCTTGGTGGACTACCACCAGCCCTTGCAGTAAGTCTGTCTTTCATTTGGTTACCTACTCATTCATTACTTATTTTGTTTAGTTAGTTTCTACTGCATCAGTCTTTTTATCATTTAGGCCCGCGGACATCGGGTAATGACAATATCCCCCCGTTATGACCAATACAAAGATGCTTGGGATACTAGCGTTGCGGTTGAGGTACATCTTCCTATATTGATACGGTACAATATTGTTCTCTTACATTTCCTGATTCAAGAATGTGATCTGCAGGTCAAAGTTGGAGACAGCATCGAAATTGTTCGTTTCTTTCACTGCTATAAACGTGGGGTTGATCGTGTTTTTGTTGACCACCCAATGTTCTTGGAGAAAGTAAGCATATTATGATTATGAATCCGTCCTGAGGGATACGCAGAACAGGTCATTTTGAATATCTTTTAACTCTACTGGTGCTTTTACTCTTTTAAGGTTTGGGGCAAAACTGCTTCAAAAATCTATGGCCCCAAAGCTGGACTAGATTATCTGGACAATGAACTTAGGTTCAGCTTGTTGTGTCAAGTAAGTTAGTTACTTGTTATACTGTTGTCTTGTCTTGATTTTTATGTGGCATTTTACTCTTTTGTCTTTAATCGTTTTTTTAACCTTGTTTTCTCAGGCAGCCCTAGAGGCACCTAAAGTTTTGAATTTGAACAGTAGCAACTACTTCTCAGGACCATATGGTAATTAACACATCCTAGTTTCAGAAAACTCCTTACTATATCATTGTAGGTAATCATCTTTATTTTGCCTATTCCTGCAGGAGAGGATGTTCTCTTCATTGCCAATGATTGGCACACTGCTCTCATTCCTTGCTACTTGAAGTCAATGTACCAGTCCAGAGGAATCTATTTGAATGCCAAGGTAAAATTTCTTTCTATTCACTTGATTGCACTTTACCCTGCAAATCAGTAAGGTTGTATTAATATATGATAAATTTCACATTGCCTCCAGGTTGCTTTCTGCATCCATAACATTGCCTACCAAGGCCGATTTTCTTTCTCTGACTTCCCTCTTCTCAATCTTCCTGATGAATTCAGGGGTTCTTTTGATTTCATTGATGGGTATGTATTTAATGCTTGAAATCAGACCACCAACTTTTGAAGCTCTTTTGATGCTAGTAAATTGAGTTTTTAAAATTTTGCAGATATGAGAAGCCTGTTAAGGGTAGGAAAATCAACTGGATGAAGGCTGGGATATTAGAATCACATAGGGTGGTTACAGTGAGCCCATACTATGCCCAAGAACTTGTCTCTGCTGTTGACAAAGGTGTTGAATTGGACAATGTCCTTCGTAAGACTTGCATAACTGGGATTGTGAATGGCATGGATACACAAGAGTGGAACCCAGCGACTGACAAATACACAGATGTCAAATACGATATAACCACTGTAAGATAAGATTTTTCCGACTCCAGTATATACTAAATTATTTTGTATGTTTATGAAATTAAAGAGTTCTTGCTAATCAAAATCTCTATACAGGTCATGGACGCAAAACCTTTACTAAAGGAGGCTCTTCAAGCAGCAGTTGGCTTGCCTGTTGACAAGAAGATCCCTTTGATTGGCTTCATCGGCAGACTTGAGGAGCAGAAAGGTTCAGATATTCTTGTTGCTGCAATTCACAAGTTCATCGGATTGGATGTTCAAATTGTAGTCCTTGTAAGTACCAAATTGACTCATGGTATCTCTCTTGTTGAGTTTACTTGTGCTGAAACTGAAATTGACCTGCTACTCATCCTATGCATCAGGGAACTGGCAAAAAGGAGTTTGAGCAGGAGATTGAACAGCTCGAAGTGTTGTACCCTAACAAAGCTAAAGGAGTGGCAAAATTCAATGTCCCTTTGGCTCACATGATCACTGCTGGTGCTGATTTTATGTTGGTTCCAAGCAGATTTGAACCTTGTGGTCTCATTCAGTTACATGCTATGCGATATGGAACAGTAAGAACTATAAGAGCTTGTACCTTTTTACTGAGTTTTAAAAAAAGAATCATAAGACCTTGTTTTCCATCTAAAGTTTATTAGCCAACTAAATGTTACTGCAGCAAGCTTTTCATTTCTGAAAATTGGTTATCTGATTTTAACATAATCACATGTGAGTCAGGTGCCAATCTGTGCATCGACTGGTGGACTTGTTGACACTGTGAAAGAAGGCTATACTGGATTCCATATGGGAGCCTTCAATGTTGAAGTATGTGATTTTACATCAATTGTGTACTTGCACATGGTCCATTCTCGTCTTGATATATCCCTTGTTGCATAAACATTAACTTATTGCTTCTTGAATTTGGTTAGTGCGATGTTGTTGACCCAGCTGATGTGCTTAAGATAGTAACAACAGTTGCTAGAGCTCTTGCAGTCTATGGCACCCTCGCGTTTGCTGAGATGATAAAAAATTGCATGTCAGAGGAGCTCTCCTGGAAGGTAGGTGTCAATTTGATAATTTGCGTAGGTACTTCAGTTTGTTGTTCTCGTCAGCACTGATGGATGCCAACTGGTGTTCTTGCAGGAACCTGCCAAGAAATGGGAGACATTGCTATTGGGCTTAGGAGCTTCTGGCAGTGAACCCGGTGTTGAAGGGGAAGAAATCGCTCCACTTGCCAAGGAAAATGTAGCCACTCCTTAAATGAGCTTTGGTTATCCTTGTTTCAACAATAAGATCATTAAGCAAACGTATTTACTAGCGAACTATGTAGAACCCTATTATGGGGTCTCAATCATCTACAAAATGATTGGTTTTTGCTGGGGAGCAGCAGCATATTAGGCTGTAAAATCCTGGTTAATGTTTTTGTAGGTAAGGGCTATTTAAGGTGGTGTGGATCAAAGTCAATAGAAAATAGTTATTACTTACGTTTGCAAGTAAATACTTAGTAATGTAGCATAAATAATACTAGTAGCTAATATATATGCGTGAATTTGTTGTACCTTTTCTTGCATAATTATTTGCAGTACATATATAATGAAAATTACCCAAGGAATCAATGTTTCTTGCTCCGTCCTCCTTTGATGATTTTTTACTCAATACAGAGCTAGTGTGTTAAGTTATAAATTTTGTTTAAAAGAAGTAATCAATTTCAAATTAGTTGTTTGGTCATATGAAAGAAGCTGCCAGGCTAACTTTGAGGAGATGGCTATTGAATTTCAAAGTGATTATGTGAAAACAATGCAACATCTATGTCAATCAACACTTAAATTATTGCATTTAGAAAGATATTTTTGAGCCCATGACATATTCATTCATAAAGTAAGGTAGTATGTATGATTGAATGGCCTACAGCTCAATCAAAGCATCTCCTTTACATAACGGCACCTGTCTCTTTGTCTACTACTCTATTGGTAGTAGTAGTAGTAATTTTACAATCCAAATTGAATAGTAAAAAGATGCTCTCTATTTACTAAAGTAGTAGTATTATTCTTTCGTTACTCTAAAGCAACAAATACTATTAAACTTAAAATGCTACTTTTAGGACCAAGTTTTCCCAGTAGCATTTTTTTTTAATTTAATAAAGAGAAGATAAAAGCAGGCAGCCGCTCCGTTACTTATAACACCACCACTCGGCACTCAGCTTACTTTTTTCTTGCTAGGCTGCTGGTTGCTTTTACTCTTTTCTTTCACCTTTAGCTCCTTCCTTCCTTACTTGTCATTTGATGATGGAACCCAATCCCAATCCCATCTCCTCTTCTCTTCTCCTCTTTCTGCTGTTTTTTACTCCAACTATGGTGGCTCCTCTAGGTATCAACTACGGGCAAATTGCCAACAATCTTCCCTTACCGGAAAACGTGGTACCATTAGTCAAATCCATCGGAGCTACCAGAATCAAGCTCTATGATGCTGACCCACATGTCCTCAAAGCCTTTGCTAACACCGGCGTTGAGTTCATCGTCAGTCTTGGCAATGAGTACCTTTCCAAGATGAAAGATCCTTCTAAAGCTCAATCATGGGTTAAAAATAATGTCCAAGCTTACTTACCTGCTACTAAAATCACCTGCATCGCTGTCGGTAATGAAGTTCTCACCTTTAACGATACCATCCTCACCAACAACCTCCTCCCTGCAATGCAAAGTGTCCACACTGCTCTTGTTAATCTCAAATTGGACAAACAAGTCACTGTCACCACCGCACATTCTCTTGCTATTCTACAAACTTCCTATCCGCCATCTGCTGGAGCTTTCCGTCGGGATCTTGTCAACTGTGTTACCCAGATCGTGGACTTCCATTGCAAAACTGGCTCACCTTTTCTGATTAATGCTTATCCTTACTTTGCTTACAAGGGAAATCCGAAGCAGGTCTCCCTTGATTTCGTGCTATTTCAGCCCAACTCTGGTATCGTTGATCCAGAGTCCAATCTCCATTACGACAACATGCTTTTCGCTCAGATCGATGCTGTTCACTCTGCTTTAGCTTCCATCGGGTACAAAAACGTCTGCGTACAGATCTCGGAGACGGGATGGCCGTCAAAGGGAGACGCCGACGAGGCCGGAGCTACACCGGAGAATGCTAGGAAATACAACTGTAATCTGATGAAGCTTATTGGTCAGAAGAAGGGTACACCCATGAGGCCTAACTCGGATTTGAATATATACGTATTTGCCTTGTTCAATGAGAACCTCAAGCCTGGTCCTGGTTCGGAGCGAAACTACGGCCTGTTCAAGCCGGACGGATCTCAGGCTTACCCCTTAGGAGTCCCGGCAATCAACGCAGTGAGTACGAATAGCAGTAACTCCGGTGGGTCTGGATCTACACCATCAGCGTCAGTGCCGCCAGCAAGCTCCTCCTCCGGTTATCTGGCCATTACTTCTGATTCGGTGAGCATTTTAGCTTCTTCTTTTTCTCTTTTTATGATCCGGTCTTCTTTTTCTCTCTTTTTATTTCCAAGTTCTATAATTACTGAAGGACTTAGATGTATGAAGTTATGTCTGCTTTCATTTGATACTAATATTCTTGTGCAATTCTCAGGGGACAAGTCTTTCTCCCTGCAAAACCTTGCTTCTCTACTTTGTGAGCTTTGGACTATGGAAGAAACTTGACAACTACTACCACTTGTAATAGACGAGACTCACTAATGTTTGTATTCTTTGATTATTTTTGACGACTTTGCTTTATGGTATTATTATTATTAGATTAAAAAGACGATACAACAGCTTACCCATTATTCCAATCCTATCTATCCGCTCTCATTCACTGGTTTGTTCTAACTTTATGGCTCACTTTCATTCAATTATGTCCATTTTTTTCATCTACAAGAAAATGTCGTAATAAAAACTTCTTCATCAAACTGCTATATGTAATTAGATAAAAAGGTTTGGTCCTTGAGTACAACTTCTTCGCTAAAAAAATGATAAGAACACTACTCTACAAGAGTATAATGCCTCTTACGAATAACTCGGATACCCAAGACTTACAAAATTTCTCTAAAAAAATAAAAAGTCTTTCAAGAAACACTAGAGCCTCATCCAATTTCTGTTTTCCTCTTGGTGCCTCTTACTGATAGAGCACCTACTTCTAATTTGCCTAGGATAAGATGAGCCCCAACCACGTTAGCTGACTCATGAACTAGCCCCTGCCAGACAGCCAAGAATTCAGACTTTATCAAGAGGGGATAAGAGCAACCAGTCGAGCATCTTCAAGAGCTTCTATGGCACTGAAAGGACCCTCCCACAACTCCATTTTGTTGAGCTTTAACTCTTCGATAGAACAACACATAGGCAGCTGATGTTTTGATATCCGATTCGGCGACAGGTGAAACATGGGAATCATCAAAATGATACCATCTGTCGTCATCAATCAACTGCCAATTAAAAGAACCCATCAGTATACAATGAACCTACAGTCAACCAAGACCATCGGAGCCCCTTGGCAGAGATTGAGCTCAATATTCTCACTATATATATTAACAGCTCCTGATTTATTGCTATCTCAAGAAGAATATATTCTAGGTAGCAATTACGATATTCAACAAAAGAACAAGACAAAATAAAAAGTACCTTGCAGTAAGCTGTGTAATGCCCACCACCTAGTCCACCATAATGGTTGCTTATTGCATATAGCTCATACACATGGGAGCTCTCAGATAAATCCGTACTTTTCACATACTTGCTTAAATCCAGATTATGTATGGGAAAATTCACAAACGTATCAAGCTTGTTCTTCAGCCATCGGCTATAAGAGAACCGCTTTAAGTGGAAAACAAGTATGTCCGGTAGTCTCCATAAATCTAACTTCTTGGAGGCTTGTCTATGCTCCTTGCAGCGAGGACAGTACCTGAATTAAAATCATAAACATACACTTAAATCCACATCAAGTGGACGACACTTAAAGAAAACATCTCATAACATACCACATATCATCTGGTCCTAAAGGTTCCTCCTTTAGGAAGGCCTCCAAACACGAAAATAAGGATATAGCTTCTTGCTTGGTTTTCTTCACTGTAAGTCCACTTTTGTGAACCTCTGGAAGGTCTTTGAGGTAGCTTGCATCATATAGCTCATATTCCTTCTCAGTCCAATCCAATATAACCTTTTGCATTCTAACTGGTTCTATCACTGTATCTTTTGTAATGGGCCTGCAGTTAGTACCCCGTTCATCAGTTAAACAAAGATGAAATGTCAGCTCCATGCTGAAATTCCCCACTGGATCTATGCACTCCGTTGATTGACCTTCACGACCAAATTGGATAGTACAGCTGTTCATTGGTACTTCAATTGTTTCCGAGGGAGAACCATTTTCGGCACCATCCTTAAGACCAGGTGCTGATGAGATAAATGCTTTCCTTCTTAATGGAGCAAGTACCTTATGGACAGCAAAATCAACATCAGCTCCGTTATGTGGGTCTTCCAAGAAAGTAACAAGCGGTGTCAAGAACAACTTCCTCTCACTGGCCTTCGAACTGTCTATGATACACCTGGAGAAAATGCATGAAGGTCAAGGGCAGGTGAAGAATAAGCTATAACAAGTATAGTCAAGACACCAGTCCTGAATAGTTACTTTTCTTGATGAGTGATAAGTAGTATTATTACTAGTAAAAAAGTCAACTAAGAAATTCAGAATTAACCTCATTCTTTGTCAGTTAATAACCTCAATAACGAATTTATACTATTGAATGTAAACACACACACCAAATTGAGAGTAATCACAAATTCACGAGTCCACACTTTCACTCAAGTTGCTAAAAGCAATACCAGGAGAAGACTAGTAAATTATCAAATGCATGAAAAATCAATCATGACGAATGGGACAGCTGGTGGGCCAAAAAATAACAGAATTTTTAATTTTAAGAGCTTATAAATTAGCGCAAGATTCAAGAATTTTTTTAAAAAATAAATACCAATATAATCCAAGGATTTAAACTTACTTTTCCAGGTACCTGTGACTAATCTCCAGTCTTGTCAGTTGTGCCACCCTTTTCGGGAGCCTGTATGCAACAATATGTTCATCATCCTTAACTGAATTCAAAATCTCTGTAGGGTTCTCAAAGTATCGAAATACCCGATGTTCATAGACCTGTTCAGGAGACTTATTATGAAACAAACAGTAGCACAGTTCGAACAAACCAACACAAAATATTTACATGTGTGCAGATATACGATTCTGGTACAAACATTTGCAGAGGCATGCACATGTCCGGTACCCATACATAATGTGAACAAATAGCAAAAAAACCATTACCTCTGCAAGTAGCAGGTATTCATCAATCCTTAAGCAGCATGCAATTTCTAAAGCCTGTGCAAGATCTTTAATATAACCATGTTTCAAGACGGTAACAGTATATGGCATTGGAAGGCCACTGCCATCACTATAAAACACTGTTACTGTCATTGTCTTTGTGACTGTTGAAGGAAGTGGTAGAGACAAATACATGAAGGGATCAAATGTTATTGAGATTTTGTTGCAGTCAGGGCAAACCAGCGTAGACTTATATTGGCCCTGAAATAAATAGCTTCAGTATGAGTGAACTTGATGGCCATATGCACTAACAAGAAAACAAACATCAATTTCAGATACTTTATATGCCAACAGAGTTCTATCCAAACATTACTGAAAGTGAAATAGCCTTTGTCACCAGAAAGAAGAAAAAAAAGTGATTATCAGTCTCCAGTAAGTGGCACTGTCGAACTCAAGCTGGCAGAGGGAAGAGAAAAAGAAAAAAATAATAACAATTCCCAGGACTAAAAATATAAAACCACTTGCATAAAGGTCAATCAAGACAGTCCCAGTCAATATTGAAAGAAAATGACAAAAAGCTAAGAACCTGGCAAATATCAACTATAACGGAGTCATTTCTGGCTCTGTGGTATCTCCAAAGCTCGTTAGCAACTTCTTCATCTGGACGACCGTCTGAGTCCTTTGTCTCAAAATACGGCTTTTGCTTGACGCGATTTAAATCTTCATGTAATCCATCCAAGAGGAAGGCGAGTAGTTCCTAGAAAAAGAAGCATATCACTTATTGAAAATCTAGCAGCATTTTAAAAGAAATGTGTTTCGGAACATAGAGGCAAAGGAAACATCTGAACTTAAGGCCTGCTGCCTATAGTGGGAAAAACTACCAGCAATATTCTAGCAACGAAAAACAACAGGCTCTACTAGTAGTGGCTAATACATGGTACATTTATCATCAGATGATACAGAAGCATTCCTAAAGACGAAAATTAGCATTGAGCAAACCCTGTGGCAAATATGACAATCTCAGCCAAGACGAGCCAAACCAACCTGAGAGTCATGCTGGTTATATCCGCTAAACTGGGGAGCAAATCGACCAAGTTTTCCCTTGAATGCACGAGGTGCCACGGGTGTTCGGCCAGAGGACCACAGTTTCCTCAACAGTTCACCAAATGCAAGTGCAAGCTCACCCTGTAAAACTACAACAGATATTAGAAACTTAAATATGGATCTCTTCCATACGAAAAGTTCACAACATAGACAAAAGAAGCAACATTACATGCATCCCCAAAGGATTCTGTCTGTTAATCTCGTCAGTGTAATCTTGCAAGAAGTATTCGACGAACGGAGGTGTATGAACCAGACACTGAAGGGCACTATTCATGAAGCATGTGTTGCCCAGATTGGATAATCCTGCCAACCCTCCCCTTTCGCCTTTACTTGCAGGCCTCAGACTATCATATCCATCCTCCATGTCACCATAACTGGAGTTCAAAGAACTCCCTTGATATGCATTGGAGCTATATCCAGTAGAGAAACCATTGGACAATGTTGGACCACCAGCAATTGTGACAGATGATCTCAGAGGTTCAACTGGAACCAATGCCAAGTCGTTTCCGGTTGAATCGAAGCCAAAACCAGAAGGCAGTGACCCTTCAGGTTGCACCTCCAGGAGAATCTGGCAGGAGATCATTCCATCAGTAAAGATTTGCTAGAAAGCATGTATTCACTTATTCTGAGATTATTTTTTCTTGTTCCACAAACCAAGCATTGTATTACTTGTGCCAGATTTTATGCTCAGATTATTTTAGGTAATGTGGTAAACCAAACGGCCCCTCTTACTAATGCATATCACTATCAGCTGGTATTTCTCATTTTCCATAGGACACTAGTAATGTAGAGAGGACATATTGTATGAGAAACTCACTTCTTGATCCATCTGCAAGTTGGAGTCCTCCAGTGTTTGGTTTGAAGCAACTAACTTTGTATGCTTCTTTTTATCAAAATAATCCCAGATGTGTGCCTGTACAATCCAAGAAATGATAAGAAGGGTAAAGATTTTGTCTCATTTTAAGAAAACTTTGCTTGATGACATGAAATAGAACTAGATAATGTCCTAATTTTAAAAAGAAACAAACCTTCTCTGGAGCAATTTCTTTGAGTTTACACACTATGGTATAGAGTTCATGTAAAGATGCCTGAAACATATCACACCATTTTAAAGTTGCTAAATAACTGGAAAAAAAAACATATTTAAACAACAGAACAAAACACCAAAAAAGCGATCAGATGATACAGCTGATACAGCTAGTACGGTCACATTGATCTACCGCCACATAGCTAACGGTTCCACCCATTTATTAAGTTATAGAGGGTGCAGAAGTACATAAGAAGACCACCATGATTCAAATAGCAAGTTCATGTATTGCTCCAATAGATTATCAGACATCATTCTCTATGCCCCACCCCACCATCCCTAAAAAAACATGTTTTCGAATTGATAATGACAAGATGACTGAGATTGTTACAGCAAAAGCAATCATCAGATTGTGCGTTTACTAATGTCATTCTTAAACAGCCAATAGATGGCCAAACGAATGGAGAAGCAGGTGTACACTATTTATAATTCGAGATAAGAAGTGAAAGATGATGCAACAAGAGTGCACCTTGAGTCCCTGACAATAAGTGATCTTTTATTCTGAAGGGGTAAAAAATGACTCTGTATCTTCTTATATAAATTAGTGAGACCAAATAGAGAGGCAAGGCCATAAATACCTTTTTACTTAACCGTAAAGCCTTGTGGCTTTTATCTCTAGTATCAAATAAATTGAGACATAACGGGAACACCTCCACGCTAAGTTGCTTGGCATCTCCCACAGATATCATTTTCCGAGGTAATGCTGGTCCTCCTTTATACCTAAAGGCAGTGTGATTACCGCAAAAAAAAAAATTAGAAATGGAAAGCATGTGAAAAACCCTTGTACTTCATTCACAATTTTAGCAGATCACTAGCATGTATGCTAGTACCTGGGAAAAGAATAGCATGTGAATCCCAGGGAAGAGTAAATGTTTTGTACAATCAGCTCTAAAAAGGTTTTTTGAGACCCTAACTAACATAGACACAGTTAATTGTCATAAGGGGAGCTACTGCTCCAATCCAGCTCTCCTTCCACTGAAAATGAAAAAAATACTCCCTCCATTTTAGTTTAAGAGTCTTAGTTTGACTAGGCATGGAATTTAAGAAAAGGAGACTTTTTAATCATGTGGTGTATAATGACCAAAATAGCCTATGAATCTTATGGTAAAAAAAACAAGTCATGTAGAATGTTGGAATTGAAGACCAAATATAGAAAGAGACATTCATTTTGAAATCGGACAAAAAAAGAAAAGTAAGATATTTCAATTGAAACAAAGGGGGCATTAAGTAACAGCATAGTACTTCTAATCATGACAGTCGACCATAACCATCCACAGACAACTCTTTCTGAACAGTGAAGTTCACAAAAGAAAACCATAGGGAATTTTGCATAGCTGTTGTTCGACAAAAAGTGCCTTAAAAAATTGAGTATCTTCTATTCATGAAAAAAAAATGGGAGTATTTCCTAGACACCATAAACGGTGTTGCCAAGTTAAGCTCCACTGCACTGTCTGATCAAGGAAGATGAATGAGAAATAAGCAAGAAAAACTTACCACTCAGAGAGCTTCTCCCATACTTCTTGTGGGACCAACACATAATCACGCCCTTCTTCCAAAGTTCTGAGAAGCTGTGGATCATCATCTCCACTGTCAGCTTCTCTAATTATTATATCGCTATTATCAATTGGTCCAGGTCTATTAGCTGAATTTGGCAAAAGAGAAGGCAGAGATTCGGTAGCATGCTCGTTAAATGGATAAGCACCAAGAGGCTTCCTAATGTACCTCTGCCAATCCATGAACCACCTAAGCATACAGACAAAACTAAATGAGTATGAATTTTCATGTTTATTCCCTTTATGACATGTTCTAAATTTTTTCTTTTAGCAATTGGCAAAACGCTTAACTTCCTAAACACCATAAGGTCAGACCAGAAAAAAAGAAGAAATAATCCAACAGTTACGATGTCAGCAGAGTAGTCACCACATCAATTTCTTATCTGGAACTGGTTGAAGTGTCCATCGGTAACCATATTATGGAGCACCAATCTTTAAGGTAAAATGAAATTGCAAAATGGCCATCGCAACAGAAGGGAGGATCTGAATAGCTGAAGCGTCATATGACTTCGATAAGAAGAAACCACCTAGCATTATTTGCCTCTAGTACGATTATAGTCCTGGTCTCTACAAATATTAAGGTAATGTTTCACAGATCCAATGAATCATAGTCAATGTAGTGCTTCAGCTCTCAAATTTTCTCTATCAGTACAGCACATTCAGGTGCACATTGATGATTTTACTTGGTACATAATTATTATTTTTGAGAAAGAACTTGGTACATAATTATCAACTCTGTATGCTTATGCTTAGTGCTTAATCATGTTGTAGATTCTGCCAAGAGGAAGAACAAAGAGAGTCATTTCTCAAGTAGCTTCCTTTTCTTTCATATAATATAGGTGAGAAAACAGCACTTACAATATGCTGCTGGGAAACTTGAGCCATTTTAATGTTTCAAAACTAAAACTCATGGACTAGAATGAGTCATATCATAACCAATTACTTCCGAAACAGTTCATATCAGGTTAAGCTTTTTAAATTAATATTCTAATACCTTGTTATTATTAATGAAATATTTTACCTGATAAAAAGAAATACCTTGTTGTGATAGTTATTGAAAACTAGCACATTAACTCATTTACTACAAACATAACATGGTGGCAGAAGCCCTAATTATTTAGCTGATAGATGTGAGTGAGCAGCAAAAGAAATATGTCCCAAGGCATTGGTCTAATGGTAAGAGAACAGCGCCTATGGAAATTTGTAGGTAATCAAAATAAAAACAAGAAAGAAAGAAACACAAAGTGGAGCGGGGGTGCAATACTTGTTGGAATAGAACATCAAAATAAAAAGCATAGTAGGATAAGGACCTGTTAGAAATAACATAATAGAGATTCCCTTGTTTCAAATTGGACTCAGCTTTGCTGATAAGCTCTTGAATGATCCTTGCCTCTTCTTCTGGGGTGCACGGCAATTCAATAGATCCGTTTTCCATCATGTAGGTCGAATCCGGAATCGTCATGATCCACGCAATACTAGTAATGATAATAAACAATAAGAAGAGAGATTCCAGTTCAAAATTGAATTTACAAAAGAAACGAAACAGGGGTATGAGAAAAGGAATAAACGAACCCTAGTAGATCCGAAAGCGATAGAGAAAGGGGGAAGTTATGAACCCTAGATTACAGGAGAAACCCAAATTCCCCGATTCGAGTTTTGATCTGCACAAATACACGAAGCGTCTCTCTCTCTTTTGAGTTTTGAGTTTTCAATTTTCATCCACCAACCTTTTATATATGATATGCCCAATCACGAGTGTCCTACGTGACATAATACACGTAGGACATAAAATTGTCATGTAGGATACTATATATGACGAATGTGTTTATTTGTTTAATTTTATACAAGTTTAAGTGTTTACTTGTGCATACCCAAAGTTAAAATCATAATTGTCAATTGACACCAAATTAAGGGTCATGTTTATGTAATATGTAAATATTTTTTATTTATGTTTTTGAGTTTTGTATTCTCTCTTTCTTTTTCTTTTTTTGGTTAAATTTATTGTAGGTATTATATTAGAAAGAAAAAGGGTCTAAAAGGTATTCTAAATTGCAAATCCCATAATAGTTTACAAATGTGGTAATTAGGGTTGTTCATGGTTATGATTAAAAAATTATATCGAATCGTAATCCAAATTAAATTGATTAAAAAATCAATATTTGATTTGGTTTGGTTTGGTTTTAAATTTTAAAAACTGATATATTTGGTTTGGTTTTGATTTTACTAAAAGACAACCGCAAAAATAATCAAACCAAAGATATAAATTTTATAATTAGTTATATATTATTCATAAATAAAATATAAATATTTTGCTAAATTTTAATTAACATAGTCAAACTTTACACTTTTTCTCATGCCGAATACTTAAATTTCAGCCTAACTATCACAATCATAAGTCCAAGTCCATCAAATTCATTACTTTAGTCTTTACTTGTCATACCTCACATAATATGATCACACTTTCTCTTATTTGAATCACTTTGTTCGTGTCATAATAACTCTAGTATTGCTTAATTGTTTAATTGAACCAACAATAGTTTTCCTATGAATTGTTCATGTACTAAGTGTTTGTGTGTATCGAGATACGTATGTCCTCAAAAAATTTATTACTTTCAAATCAAAAAAACTGAACCAAACTGACGGTTAATTTTTTCTTTTGGTTTGGTTTGGTTTTAGAAACTTAAAAAAATGATTAGATTGATTTAATTTTAATTTTAAGCAAAAACCGAACTACAAACACCCCAGTGGTAATTATTCCGTCTCTCTTGATGTCAGTATTTATGATGGTTAAAATTCAGCTTCTGCTAACAGATGTGTTTGTGCGTGTAGTAATTACTTTGGGAGGTTAAAAACGTTGAATAATGTATTTGTGCATGTAAGGTTATTCGAGAATATAAAGCAGACCAACACCACCCAAAACTAAAGTTACAAGAACCTACTCATATCGAAATGACAACCGAATAGTATCAAATAGCGAGCACTTTGCGTAAGTTGTTCACTCTTCCTAAACCCAAATACTGATGAAGAAAGCACTCAAAGCATCTTTATATACGCATACCACAAATGTGCACTTGGAACACAAAATCATTCAGAATTTTACTTTGAATAACCCACTTTCCTAGTCAAGTTATAATTCAAAGAAACAGGCCAACTGAAAAGAGTCTTTGATGTTATACTGTAAACTTCTGTGCTCAAGATACTACTTCCAGAGGGGGACTTACAAATGCACCAACCAGGCTCAATACCATGAAACCAAAAGTCCAACCAACATAGGGGATCTGCAGTTGAGCATCTAAACTAGTTACAGCAGCTTACAGATTCCGAACAGTACTTTCATCTACAATTCAGTCCTGAATCCCGTTAACAAAATCATACAGTATCAACAAGCAGTCGATATGCAAGGACACATATATACAAACAAGCCAATAGGATCGGCACATGACATGGCCAAAGCTACCAGTCAATGGCACATCCTATAAACAATTGACTTTACTCTAGTGCCATAACCTCATGTATGCAAGAATCTGCAGAGGCACCACTGAACAAGATCTATGAATCAGTTTTCTAATGATAGATGTCAAGTATTAAACACCCCAACCAACAAAAAAACACCTAACACAAATTATGACATGGTAGCTCTCTCATCAGAGCTAGCAGAGGCGTCATTTCCAGTAGGAGAAATCTCACCACCTTGTACCTCATCTTCGCTGAACATGCTGTCTCTGCCAGATTCAGAGGATGAGCCAATCTCCTCATCACTGAAAACCTCAGCCCTATGCCGCCTCCTCACATCCTTTATGCCTCTTCCTTGAAGAGCCAATCGCCTGCGCTTTCTTGCCTTCCTCTTGCCTTTGGGAAACTCTTCCTGTTTTGATTCAAAAGTCTTGTTCCTGACATCTTTTGCAGCTCTATCCATGCAATCTTCATTATCCTCCGATTCAGTAAATTGGGAATCAACATCAAGCTTGCGTCTCTTCCTATTTGTACTCGTCTGATAAAGAAAAATAAATTAAAAGGATATAAGCCTAATATGAATCCAAATGGTGAATTGAATATACACATCACTCGTTAACGAGCATTAATCAACATAGTTCCTTTTCTGCAGTAATGTAAGCTTCATGGATGGTTTTCTTCCTTATTTGGGTAGCCAGGCAGGGTTACAAGGAGATTTGCTTGCTAAGACAACAAACTTCAATTTTCACTATTTTGGAAAGAAATTGAGGTGAACCATAAATCAGCCGGAAACCTTCCAAACTAGCTATTTTCACAATATTTTTTGAAGTATCCTTCGCAATGACCTCACTCTAGAACAAGAAACACTGCCTAACATTGAACCTTGCCTCCCTCAAAGTTAAATATGGCCACAGTAATAAAAAATAAAAAATCATCAGCTTAACCATTGATGCAACAAGTTTCTTCAATTGCAATAGCTATCCAGATTTACTGCAAGAATTTGTCAAAGATAAAAAGGAAACTTGGACAGTTGCCTATTTCCTTCACAGACTCAGGGAAGCAGACATTCCCAGTTCCCCACTTGGGCTGCATACCAGTAGAAACCCTTCTTTTAATAAGTAATATTGGGAGATATTATCTATAGTCGCAGAACATATAAAGAGGTTTAATACAAAGACGGATCATAATTGGTCTCAAATGTTATTTGTAACATATAATTATGATATAGGAAATGTAAATGCACCACTCAATTTCACATGATCTTATGTAATTTAGCTGATCCCAAGCCCGGATAAAAAGGAGGGTGGTTTACACTGACATCTAGCATAAAATGAACTATTGTTATGCATCTTGAAGAGCTGAATGGGTACAAAGAATTCAGATAGCACCTTCCTCACCCTCGATTAGGATTTAGCTTACTGAATATGAAGCTTAAATAAATGCTTAAAAAGCAAAAGAAAGTAATTTAGACTCATTAGACACTTTTCAGACTCCAAGCAGTGCCTAATTCTTAAAGATAACCTTGGGACCCCGATCAACCAGGCGAGACCATTCACTTCGGTTCCGCAAGCAATCAAGGACAGCCTGAGAGTGACTTGCATATGCATAACGTTCTCCATTGTGCTTCCTCAAGTTCGGCCAGTGCTACAGAAGAATCAGGAAGATAACAGACAAATTAATGTTTTTTGTTAACACCAGAAAGAGAACACATCTTATCTCATTAAAGCATCTGTACCGGAAGAACTGCATTGCAGAGCTCTTCATAAGTCATTCTTTGACCTTTGCTCATAATCTCAGCAATCAAGCCTACAAATGCAGAAAAAAGGTAGCAACGTAACATTAAGAAGATCCAAAATAAAAGGAATATTCTTTTTTATAGAACATCTAACATATATAACTCTTGTTAAGGCAAAAACCTGGTAATGTCTGATGTGAAGGATAGTCAACCACTTTTGCATCAGCAGCAGCAGCAGCTGCACTTGGTGAATTGTGCATTGCGGAAAGGTTCTGCTCATTTACCTCATTTGGGGAACATAAACTACTACTTGCAGTAGTATTGGACGTAAGTGTGTGACTCTTCTTCAGAGACTGCACACTTTTTGCTGATCCAGCGTCTCCTTCTCTCTTAATAATAGAATCTTCTTCTCTTCTACAACCAAGGGAAATTGATCTTTCAGATTTCTTAGTTTCCTGAACCACCTCCTGAGAACAGTTTGCACCATCTTTGCCTATGTCCTTTGACTTTTTCCTAGATGTCTATGGCAAAATATAAACACGTCAGAATAAAGTCAAAATAGGCATATAATCGCCTATTATGTAAAAATATAATAAAGCTTACCAAACCATGATCTTTTCCTCCACCGCTAGATGTTCGCTTCATTAGCATACTTGTAGATGTTGGAGAGGTTAACTGAGGTAAGCTACCAGCATGACGCATCCGTGGCACTCGAGGAACTCTAGGAGAACTATTAAGTTCTTGATGAAGCAGTAGAGCAAGCTACATAAAAATGACAAGCGTAAGCTAAGAGGGAAATATAATACTTTAAACATTCATTAATTCAACTTCTACCTCTTCATCACTTAGTGCTGCAGGAGATGATGAAGACGGAGGATGCATCAGGTGTGTATTCACTTTAGAAGATGGCTGGCAACTTGGCTGGTTTGTCTTCTCGCATTTTTGTGTCAAATGTGTACCTGCAGCTTTATTCTGAATGTGTGCCGCACTCTCACTTTGCAGTGAGCTAGAAGACTCTGCAGAGCGTGCACTAGCAGGGTTACTACGCACAGTTGATGTCTTAGCAGAAGAATTGGGGACTGAATCCTTTGCTTCTGATAATGTTTTCTTCACTGGAGCATGAGAGAGCTTGGTCGACTGCAATGTCTTTGATGCTGAACCAACTGATGACTTTGGGAGCTCTTTCAACATTTTCTTTGGTCTTTCACGCCTCTCTTCATCCCTACCAGCATCCATTGACGAACTCTCTCTTTTATTACTCAGATTGCTCCCAGACATTCCCCTCGGTTTACCATTAGAATCATGATTATGAGCTTTCGAGAATATTCGACTCTCAGGAGCAGAAGATTTTGTTGTACCTGAAGACGATTTTCCCATGGATAGAACTACTTTACGGTGATTTGGAGCTGACAACGAAGTCGCAACTGCTAAGCTTGATCTAGGTGCCTCTTCAGCAGGTTTTGAACTTTGTTTGTGTCCTGAACTCTTTCTTGCTCCAACTGTAACTTCAGAGATCTTAGGTTCTTGATTAGATTGACAGAGTGCACTGGGTGATTCATCAGTATTAGTTGTATTATTACCACCAATCATTACCTTTCTACTGCCTTCCTCTAATTTACAGTCACTATTTTCCGAATTGACTATAGTGGTAATATTTACTCCAGTTTTTTCAGACAAGCATCCTGAAGATGTCCCTGCAGGTTTTGCCAATGATTTTGTTATATCCAACTTACCCTCGCTTGGAAGTAAACGTTGATTTTCAAGGGCTGCAGGATCAGCATGGACTTCGGTTTCCAATTTAACCTCAAGTTTTGAAGAGCAAATAACCTTGTTATCACTTGAACTTTCAATATTTGGCTGCCTTTTAATGCTAGGGACAAGACATGCAACATTTTCTACCATGGGCTCCGCCATTTGTGATTCAGTTCCAAGACATAAAACAGCAACCTCTTCCTTATTGTTGGTAACATTAGTAACAACCTAATTTCACAATCAACATTATTTTACAAACTTCCTTAACTAGAAAAGAAAAGGCAAGAACAAATAATACACATTCTTTGTGTAATGTCGAAAATGAAAGCATCTCTCATCTCTTCTTTCGCTGTGTAATGGCTGCCCAGTGGCAAGGCATAAGCAGTGAACTGACAAGGTGGAGTGCTATGGACAATCAAGTATGCAAGAGGGAAAAGAGCCTATGCTGAGGTTTTTAAAATGTCTTCAGCTGCTACCTTTGTATTATATATGGGGCAAGAAAAGAGAGATACCCGTGCTTAATATGCAAATATATAAGAGAATCATCAGCCAGGTGACGTGACATCCAATATAACAAGCATTCCTATTTATCTTTTTTATCACTTTTTTAAGCCTTTTTCCCTTTTAAAATAATTCAAAAAAGTGTTCCATTAAAGATAATCGGGTATATTCAAACCTAAATTGCTCGGACTCTTCACTTTTGGTGCCGCACCCGTGTCGACACAACATGGGTGTGGGTGTGGGATCCATGTCCGATTTGGTCAACAGATTTTGGGTACTTTGACAAAAATCGGTGGGGAAAATCTGGCCAATTTTGATGAATTTTGTAATCAATACAAAAGCTAAGGTGAAATTGAAGGAAATGGAATACATTTTATATAAAATTTCTATGTCACTCTGTTTCCTTTGATCTCCTTCCAGGATTCTCCTCAAATTCTCCACATAATATCTCATAATTTAGGTTTTATAACTCTATTTTTAGATATTTTAATTATTTTTAGGTGAATACCCACGCCCATATTCATACATGGATCCATATCCCCAAATCTTAAAAATTAGAACATGAAGGATCCGACCTTTAAATCCGCACCCGTATCGGACACCCACACCCGAATCCGAGGAGCTTAGATTCAAACAATCACCTCTTTTCTTGATAAAAACAAACGCCGTTTCTTTTAATCTCTTAATTAGGGTTAATCCTCTTCCTCCTTCACCCACACCAATCTCCTCTTCTTCCTCCCCTCGACATAGGTACTCGCCAAGGTAAATATTCTCGTTCTTGCTTTTGGGATTTGTTTTATTAGTATTTTGGGCATCTCTGTATCCAGTATTTTGTATTTCTGTCGCCATTTAGATTTGCAGTTTTTACACCAACCCAGGAAAAACCAAAAATTATGGATATTCAACCTCTTTCTCTATTGATTTATTTTTCACGGATCAGACATCTTCTCCAATGTATGATCTCTGATTTTAAGTTGAACTTTTTCTCCTTCATTTTAAAATTATGTTTTTGGGTGTCAACGATGGGTGCTTTATTTTTCTATGTATCAACATTTGCATTGTAACTTTGAATTGAGTGATTTGATGGATTGGAAAATTACTAGCTGCTTGGGGTTTTCCTTTGTTGCAGTTTTTGACTTTTCTGGGCGCAAGTGCGAAAGGAACATGTTTTATGGCTCTCTGCCTTCATCACACACACAGACGACACATAGACCTCAATGTATCATCTCTTCTTTATTGGGTTTGCAGTTTATTTCTTCTTCTGCAATTTAATTCCTTTTATGTCTGCGTTACAGTTTCCCATCAATCATCTTGGACTCTGATCAAGCGAAACTTCGTCCTGCATTGTAGCCGCAAAAGTCAACCTATTGATGAGGTGAATGATTTATCCCGTTTCTCAAGGTGTGGCACGATAGTTAGATGTTGCAATAAGAATAATAATTGGGGTGGGGGAGTTATATTTTTGAAAACATATGGCTACATGTTTTAGTTACTGTTAACTTGCTTGACTTATAACTTCCTGTTCACTCTCAAATCGAGGTGTTGAGTCATCCCTATATAACTAACATTTTTGGGGAGTCATTTCTATGCCCTTTTTCCATTTTAAAAGAATTCAAGAAAATGTTCCATTACAGAAAATTGGGTATTCAACAGTCAACTCTTTCCCCTGATAAACCAGCCGCCGCCTCTTTTAATCCTCTTGGGTAGGGCGCCATTCTCTCCCTCCTCCTGGCAGGCGAATCTCCTCTTCTTCCTCTCCTCGCCATAGGTACTCGGCAAGGTAAATATCCTTTTCCTTGCTTTTGAGATTTGCTTAGTTGGTATTTTATGTATCTTTGTGGAGATTACAGATTTCTAGTTATGGGACAATAAAGTGATATTGTGCGCTTATGATGGTATTTGTTGCTCATCATGCTTTGGGATTTGTAAACATATAAGGTTGAAACTGTACTTGGACATAAATTTTACTAGAAAATCAAATTTTATGAGTAAAAATAAATTTTATTTGAAATACTTTACTTATTTATTTATTTTGTGTGTGTGTTTCAGGGATTTACTTCTTTTCATTTTTTCAATTCATACTATGAATGATGGAATATATTGAAACAAACAAAAACGTTTTTGGAAAATTTTCAGAGAATTATGAGAAGAAAATTACATGACATTTGTAAGCACAAGAGGGAGTAAAGTTTCTGATTTTTGGAATGATCTTAGCAAAGTGAGAGAGAGAAAATCACAGAGGAAGTAACAGTATGAAAGAGGGGAAAAGGGAATGATAGAGGATTGAGAGAAACCATAGATTCTCTGGAAATATTAGCTAATTTAAAGGATAAAAATTTGAGTAATATATTAATTAATTATAGATGAGTCTTTGTGGCCGTGAAGCTGAAGTAAAGCTGCAAAATATTGTACAGAAGTTGGGGGTTTATAATGGAATTTGCTGTGAATGAGAGATCTTTCTTACTCCATTATTCCACATTTCTCTCATATCTCATAAACCAATCCCGATGGGAGCTAATTAGAAATTTATGATGTTCATTTATTCACCTGGTATCTATTGTTAATTTATGCTTATTTGTATATCATTACTTTAGGCTTTAATGGTCATGCCACCATGGAAAGTATACATGGGTGATTTTTCCCGGAAAGCTCTGGACATTATTGCAGGCTGAATGTAGAAATCTTGGATTGGATGATCTTCCATGTAGAATGTCATTAGCTTGGAATATAAAAAGTATCACAAGTTACAAAAGAAAAGTCTTTTGAAAATTTTAAAATAAGATAGGGGAATAAATGAGGAGTCGTGTTTGAAAAGCAGTTTCGAAAAGGAAACAAGGTTGGAAAATTACTAGATACTTGTGAACAAGATCAAAATCACAACACTAGAAGTCTCTAATTATAATCAATAATAGTTTTACTTACTATTATACTAATAAACATTATATTTCACAATAGAGTTAATGGTCAAAAATACACATCAAGTATCCCTGATTTTCGAATTTCATACCTAAACTACCAAGTGTATGAGTTTCCTACCTAAACTATCACTAACTATTTATCAAAATACATTGCAACTATCAATTTTTCCCTTTTCCTCAACTATAAGTGTGTTTTTGACCCTTAATTTTACAATAATGGATATTGTGTTTATGAACAACATTTAACTAGGATAGGAAGGCAAGAGTTTGTGATATATAATTTGTTATCAAGTTGAAAAACGTTGATTAGAATATATAGCCTTATAAAACTACAAAAAGGGAGGTCATCTCATCTCAAAATAGGGAAGGAGATGAGTTATGGCAATCTGGATTCCTAAATTGCATGGTTACCCTCAAGGCACTTCCTCACGAAGTGTGAATTTTTTCCCAAGCAGAAGGAACTGATGCAAAAATAACAGTGGCTAGAATATATAGAGCACCAGAAAAGGTTCACTAGCTTTGATGTCGGAAACTTTGGTGATATTGGCTAATACCATAACAAGAGAGATTTCATCTCCTCTTCATTTTCTAATAGGAATATTTGTAAATCCGTCGAGGTCAAAGCGCCTGGCTTCTATTCCTAATATGCCCATCCATTTTACCTCTCTAACAAAGGGAAGGAAAAGAGAAAATAACACTGGAATAGACAATCTTCGACCCTCCTACAAAGTTTTGGTCTTCCAGCCCTTACATTTTTACAAAGTGAAGTACAAAGAGGATAATACTTAATAGTACATAAAATTACTCTACCACTTGATAAATGCAGAACTGGACATAATTGGTCATACATTTGGCAATGTGTGAGAAATGAAACAAAGAGAATTCACCACATAGTCACAGGAAACTGTAGCATGAAAACCGATCACATACCTCTTCTGTCATAGGTAAACTAGCAGAATCACTCCGCTCTAAATTTGTTACTGCTCCATCATTCTCCATAGGAGAGTCCTCAACCCTAGCAGAAATGTGGTTTCTAATCCTGTCTTCTCGGGGATGTGCTTCACTTGTTGAGCAGCATTTAGATACATCATAAGATGCAGCTTTTGAAAAGCGCTCATTTGAAGTTGGAATGTCAGAATAGCTTGTAGTGTCATGGTCCAGTACACGAGGTCCTTTCAAAATGTCAACAGCAGCCAAAACTTCCCCTGAATTTCCAAATTTTGTTCTCTGAATATCTGTCTTGACAGACATGGGGCCTCTGTCTTTAAAAAAAATTGCAATTGCTTTGAGTTAATTCCCTCATAACTTGAAAAGGAATATTAGTACCATTATCAACAATCATGGTAGTACTAGTATAAAAATTCAAATAGTAGATAAAGCATCAGTAACACAAACCAAATTTGAAAGTCAAGAAAGCATTAGACATGCAAAAAATAGTCATACACATAAAATAAATACTAAAGTACCAAAAAGAAAACCTTTTCTTTTAACAAAAGGGTAGTAGCTTAATCACCTGGTCTAGAAGCATGTGCATCTTTCTTAAGATAGCCTTCCTTTTCAAGGATCTTAGACTTCTTCTTACCACTTTGATCCTTGGACATCCCACAGTCTTCTTTGGTACTCTTGTTGCCTTGTATCATGCTAGGACCCAATAAACCTGTGTCCTTCTTCATATCATTGGTTGAGTGAGTAGTAGCATCTGAATCCATAGCATTGTTGGACTCAAGAACATGCTTCTCGGAAACAGGGTTAACCACTGGTGCAAACAAGCAGCTTTCCTTTGACAGTGAGAATAAAGCACCAGCACCATTACCAGTAATCATCTCATTGCTTTTGTCACTGGTATTATCATGGGCGTCCCTTGTTTCATTATCCCAACAAGGAAATTCGCTATATTTAAAATTAAAGATTTTGGGAACATAACCCCTGCATTTCCACAATTCACGACCAAATACAGATGATAACCCAGAAAACAAAGCTGGATCGCCACCGGGGACACCTTGCATGTGAACCCTTTCTTCCATTGGCAAATCAGTCCAAAGTCTAAAGGGGCTACGGATAGGGAGAGTGTTAGGATATGGAGAATTCATGGTCAAAGTCTTGGTGGGCAACTCAACAAGCAGCTGAGCAACCTCAGTTTCTTCGCTATTATTCGTGGTGGCTTTATTCTTACACTTATCACATGCAAATAACTTCTCACTCTTGACATACCGCACACAACGGGTATGTACCCACACACTGCACTCGTCGCAATTCACCATCTCCTCTCCATCATCAAAATTGACACCACACACACAATCCACTGTCCATGAACCATCAATCCAGTCATCCTGTGGGTTTGCAACGGGAAGCCGGTGAGACCGGCTCTTCATGGTTGCAAGGGCGGCTCAACCCTAAAGCAAGCAGTGGCTTTAGGCCCAAAACAATAATTACAAATCTCCGAAAGAAGCAAAAAGCCCCAAATTCAAATTCAGTTCAAAAAACGCAAGATTAATGAATGAGACTCAAATACGAACGCATATATATATATATCCGAAGCACAGAAAACAAATAAATTCGATTAAACGAAGAAGCACAAGCCGAAATCACACCTAAAAGCAGAGCAAGCACCGAGTATAAAGATGAAGGAGATACATACATGAGAAAGAGATAAACAAGAGAGCTCAACAAATCTGACGAATGTTAATGGCGTTCCAATGTGAGAAGCAACGTATTCACCAACAGCAGAATCAACGCCACCGCATGTAAAGACTAGAATACCCTTGCTGAATATACGTAATTAAAATTTTATTACTTCACTCTTTAAAAATATAAATGGTACTATTATAATTTAAACTAGTACATACTCCATAAATTTGCAATTATTTTTTATTTGTCTAATTTACTAATATTAACTTTGTAAGATCATCTTCAATTTTTTGAGATGTCTTCTTAGATATTTCATGTTTAAATTAATTAGATTATTGAATAAATAAATTTTAAAAAATGCGTAGTGTTAAATTTAAATTTCGTTTAAAGTAATAATTATTACAATATTGATGATCTAGACCTATTTTGTAATTTAAAAATAATATAAAATAGTATATAAATAAAAGAATAATACTTTAATTGACATTTTCAAGACTTAATTTTATTTTTAAACAATTCAAAAAAATAAAAATAAAGTGTCTTAGTGTTGTTTCGATAGGGGATCAAGTGCAAACATTTCAGGCTCGACTTCAAATTGTTAGTACAACTAGTTGGCTTCTTAGTTCGAGTGTTTTTTAAATTTGAATGTCTTTTCCTATGGAAATGAGTTATTGTAAAGTTTTGTCTTTCTCAAAATGGCGGAAGTTAACCCTAAAACTGCAACAAATACAAAAATAAAAATAAAAAATAGGCAATACATATTTATAGCACCTCAATTATCAAATTCACTAGGGAATCCACCCGCGCTTCGCGCGGGTCTGGGTTAGGCTTTATTCGACTATATAATATGTTGAAGAAGCGGTCAATTTTTGGAAGTGTCGTAGACTATGGCATTATTTTACTTGTGGTTTAAGTGCTGTAATGTGATTCCATGTTTCGTCGGGAAACATTCAATTTATTAATGCACTTTAACGTTTGAGGTTTCTTGGTGGTCTTTATATTTAGTCGTCACATATTTGTACGGACATCATTTGTTATAGTAATGTGACTGTCTTTGTATGTAACTCTACGTTTTGTAATACATCATTTTTTTTTCATCTGGAGCATGGCCAACATTAGCATCTACCTGATCAATATAGTTGACTATTCTGTGCAATGCTCCAATCTTACACCGACATCACTATTATTTTTCTCCCCTATTTTTGTCAAACGTAATTTTCGTAGTCCCAAAGTTGCTACATATTGTTTGTTGTGTTGTATAGTTTGTTGGTGGCTCTGCGTACATGTGTATAAACTATGCGCATTATATACAAAGGTATATATGATGGTTGTCTATGTAATATGGCCCATACGTATGCAGTGTGTATAGTTAAATGTTACATATTTGTGACAGTACATGAATCATTCACTATTAAGTTTGTAAAAGAGGACCCATATTTGTGCTGCAAGTAGAAATAGTAAGCAGGACATTCATTTCTTATTTTTAGCTTCTCAAATCAGCGCTTTCCATAAAGGTCGTCTATCCTAGGTGCCCTTATCATGAATGTAATCTGTACTATTAAAGTCCATTGGCAGCTGCACTAGTCTCTATTGTATTAGTTAGGCCTGCACGCAAGTGTTGCATTTACATTCCACCTCCATCACGAATCCTCGTTAGTATGGATGTTTATCTGCACATGGGTCATTGCGAGAAGTTAGTTAGGCCATTATTTGGTGTAATGTATATTTATAATCGCCAGACCAAATAGTTAATTGCTAAGAAATACCTCCTCAGTTTGCACTATTCTTGGGCCAACGTTTTGGAAGATTTCCCTGTAAACAATATTTTTTATGTATGTAGGGTCATTTGTGTCCTCGTCCGCATTGACAATTGTCAATCCTTCTCTTTTTGTTACACGTGATACTGCGACATACAATTGGCCATGTGTGAATACTTGTTTTGCCAGATACAACCCAACTCTTTGAAGAGTTTGCCCCTGGCTCTTGTTGATGGTCATAGCATAACAGGGTGCTAAAGGAAGTTGGCGCCTGTTGAGTTTGAAAGGCCACTTTGAATCGTTTGGTGACATGATAATTCTTGGTATTGTGACTCTTGAACCGATGTTCTTTCCAGAGATTATGTTTGCAGTAACAGACCAAATACCCAGATGCGTTATTATTAATCTTGTACCATTGCATAGGCCTTCAGTTTGATTTAGATTTCTAAGCAGCATAACCGGACTTCCTACTTTCAAGTGAATGTCATGGTTTGGGATACCTGGGAATCGCAAGTTGTTTAGGAATTCTGTTGGGTACAATATATCCTCCTCATTAGTATTCACGCTTGTTTTGCACACATTGTCCGAGCTATAGTAAGTTCTTCCTTCCCCAGGTATCAGCTTCAGAATTTTCTCATTCAGTTCATGGACCATTTCATTTTTTGGTGTGAGTATGGCTCTTTCTTTCAAGTAGGATGGGTCGTTATAGTTCTGTAGCAGGGATGGATATACTGCCTCTACAATAGATTCTATCTGATTGTGCGATGTTGGAATGTATACATCAGCGGGCACATGAATGAGGTCCTTCTTATTATCTGCATAAACGGATCCATCTCCAATCTGCAAAAGCCATTTATCAAAACTTGCTATTTTCCGTGCTTCAGAACCCCTGACTTTTCCACAGCTAAGTCTCATGTTTTCCGTCAATTCATAAATTGAGAAGTAGGGCCACAACTGTGAGCAGTTCAGCGCTGCATCCACAATATCACCTCTTGTTCCCTTTGGAATAACCGGGAGTATTTGGCGGAAATCACCACCACATACGAAAGTTATGCCCCCAAAAGGTTTCATGGCACTATTTTCATATCTATCTCGGAGAATATCCCTCAAGGTTCTGTCCAATGCCTCAAAGCACAATTTGTTTGCCATTGGTGCCTCATCCCAGATTATCAAAGCGGTCTTTTTAAGTAGTTCCGCTAATTGACTGCCTTGTTTGATTTCACATGTTGACTCTGGCGTGATGTCTAGAGGAATATGAAATCGCGAATGAGCAGTCCTACCATTTGGTAATAATAAAGCTGTTATACCCGAAGTAGCGACGGGGAGAACGATTTTTGATTGTGATCTGATCTTTGAAATAATAGTATTCCACAGAAATGTCTTACCCGTACCACCATGGCCGTGTATAAAAAATAATTTCCCTTCTTCGTTATCCACTGATGTTATTATTGCCTCATATGCCGGGCGTTGGCATGCATTTAACAAAGCGAGTGATTGATCATGGAGTATTTGGAGCTTGTCTTTGTCGTAGTCTAGCTCTTCATTGATTAGGCGATTCCCTACATTTCGCATTAATGCTGAATCTGGAAGGGGCATTCCTTCTATATCTTTCAAACTTCTCCCAATTTTTAGAAGGATGCTTTCAATCTCAAATAGTGTGTACACTTCAATCTGCTTTGTGTTTAGCTGCAAATCATTGAATTGTAATCTCTTTCGCTGGATATGCATGATATCTTCAGATAATATTCCGTAGTTATTCTCCCATAGCTTACGTGTATCTGACACCTGACAGTTCATAAGTATAGTAACAAAGAGATGTCGCAACTCGTTTCCAGAAGCCCACTGGGACGCCTCAGACAAGCAGTCGTTCCACTCTTTGTCATCATCTAATAACCCCAAAGCGTAGCAGGCCTCTCTATATGTTTTATGATCTACTCCATTGATTCTTCTGATGCCTTCGAAGGAAGTACATCCTTTGACAAAATTTAGCAGCATACGCATGTAAAAACGTTCTCCACTTCCTGGATGTGCAAAGTAAATTCTTCCAACTGCGTGCCCCTTCTTCCTCCTGGTCCACTTTTTGTCTCTTCCATTCCAAACCCAACGCGTTGGAAAATCGGAATATGTCAGCTCTCTTGCATCAGGGTGTTCTTTGTTTGCCTCAAACCATTCTGTAAATTTTGTTTTTTCTAAATCGTGTCTGCTTAGTACGCTTTCAGCTGTCCTTGATTCTTCAAATATTATTGTGTTTTGGCCCTGTAAATGAAATGGTAAGCGCTCAACAGCCGGTTGCCTGTGATGTATATCAAATGAATAGATCCTCCAACAAGCTTCTGTGGCCGATATGTATCTGCAATCTAGGTATTTTTTTATCTCATCGTTTTCTGTTGGTGTACCGATTGATTCTATTATTGTTGTGGCTCTATCAGACCCTTTATGAACATACTTGAATAGGTACTTGACCGACCTCGCATAATTGCATACTTCAACATTTATATGTGCATCAAACTGGACAAGCAAGTCCCTGTTATATGTGACAACATATCGGTTGTCTAAGCTGGCACCATTTTTCTTGACTTCAATACTTGTGTCCCGTCTCATATAAATAGGGAATCCATCCGAATCAAAATTTGTTCGGCCATTGTATTTCTTTGGAAAATGTTTTGTGCACTTGCCTTGTTTCATACATGGGCAACTGGGATTTTGTTCTCCGCACGGTCCGTGCATCATGAAGTTTTTCACGGCATTATACCCATCTGGATCTTCTCTGTAATCAGGTATTTCAGCGGATATTACTTTGTCGATATGATCTGTTGTGGGGTTTTTTTGTGTTTCATGAAGGAAAAACAGTATATGAGCATGTGGCAAGCCTCGTTTCTGGAACTCAATTGTATATATACCTACAAACAAATTAGTATGTGGACGTGATTAGCATGTTGGTTAGGTGAATTGGTTGCTAGATATCATGTATTCATAAAGAAGTGATGTTATTCTTAGTAATTAAGCTTTGTAGGAGTTATGGGTAGGTCTTGTGCGCACATGTTTAAGATTCTGTGATAATCTTCCATGCTTTTGGTTGCACATATATATGTACCTATATTGTAATTTAAAAGCATTGAGATTGCATTTTGTGTGATTTAGTAAGACAATATTGAAGATTATTGATTGTCCTATCTTACACGCAATTATTGTCCCGAAAGGCTTATCCTTTTTAAGAATCTGCATTAGCTGCAACAACTTGATCTGGAAGACTCGGCATATAATGTCCACCCGGCAACCATCAGGATCTTGGTTTATTAGTCTCGTCATTGCATTTATTTCCGGCCACTTTGGGTTGCAAGTAAAAGTCAGGAACAAATCTGGGTATCCAGCCCATCGACATATAGCCATTGCATCTTGATAATTTTGTGCCCTGTAGCGAGGTCCCCCAGTGTGGGAGGAAGGTAGTATAATAGTTTTTCCCACCATTGAGCAATCTGAATCTCCACGTACAATAGCATCCATTAAGCCACCATAAAGATCAGACCTTAATTTCTGTTGATTTTTCCGGATGTACCTAAATCTTTCTTCTTCAATTGCCATGTAACCATCCACAATGTACTGCTGAAATAGCCTGCCAGCTTGGAGGAGAGTGTGTCCCTCATTGAGGCGTTGTTGTATGCGGTATCCATAAAATTGTCTCATTGTCAAATTTGTCCGAGTGTATGTTTTTTGACTTGCAGAATCTAAAGGTATTCCAAGCCTATATCCATCTTCCCCATATGGATGTATTAATGGGTAATTCATCGACATGAAACATGGGTGTAAATCTGTGATCCTTTGCAGTCCGTTCTTGCGGTGTTCCACAATGACATCTCGCTGAAAGTTAGCATCTGTAAGGTCTCCTACGATTAATCCAGCAACTTCAGAAGCCGTTGGTCTGTTGTATTGTCGGCCATCTTGGGTCCTTTCAGATAGGATGCGCATACGGAACTCTGCTTGTGGTTGTTCTAAGTATCTATCCCTTGCCATACGAAATGATTTAACCAAAACATTATGCTCGTCTAGCATTTCAGATATTCCTTGTACGATTTCTGTTTCAACTTCTTCATGCATCAAACTTTTTATTCTATTCTCTATCTCATTATCTGTGTCATATATATAGAGTTGTGCAAATTGTGGACTTTTTCCAATTTCTGGTAATAGTGAGCCTATGTGATGATAATTTTGCCCACTTATTCTGAATACATAAGGACCCTTAGAACGATTGATTGATCTGTCAACTCGACCTCCCATTGATGTAAATGCAAACATGGAGTTATATACCCTGATATTTTTCCTAAAGTTCATCCCCACTTTTCCGGATTCATTGCCCAATAGATATTTGAGGTACGGTGGTGATTGAGTCAGTAATGGTACACGGATTCGTCCTTCCATACAGCAAAGTGTAAATTTAGGTTGTCGTGTATTTTTACTTTTGTCTGTCCGTTCCTCATACCACAGAATTGCCTGACAATATTGACAGGTGTAGGTTGGAGGGCCCAAATTCAATCTTGTCTTGTATCCAGCTGTCATATAAGTCAGGTGGGAGACAATATAAGTATTGAATTCGTGAATAATGAAGTTCTGTACCTAATACAGAGTTATGTGTATATGTTATTATGTGTGTTGTTGACTGAGTGACAGATGTACCTGTACTGTTCTGACTGGCTTGTCTGCTACTACTTGTCTGCAGATGCATTACATGTGAGACGTCTGCACATTCCTCCATAACTGAGTCATTGGATTGGTTATAGTGTCCGCCTGAGAAGATGTTTATTAAAAAATTGTTACTCAGTAGAATACATCTTGGATTTCATCTGTAAGTATAGACTGTGTCTACGTTATTATGCATGACTAATATTACGTTGTATTTATGTTCCTACTGTAATGAGGCGTGAAGAGTTTCACATAATGTAAATGTATGGGAAAGATCGGTAGCAACTATTGTAACGTGCTAGTATTGATTAATGGGGAGATGTCTTTCATTCCTTCTGTGTTGTAATGTTTAGGTGTGGGATCGACATACGTAGTTAGTAGTTCAATTTGGTAAATCTGGTTCGGAGTTGTGCAGTGGATATATGGATCAATATGAACTTACCCTGTATTTGTCGATGCATTTCTGTCATTCTGATATCTGTTGCGTGCACCACCTTTTCCAATATTTTGATGTAATAAAGAACACGCTTTGCTTGCTTCAGTGGGTGACCTTTGTATTGTCGTTGAAGTAATGTGAGCTTACGCTTCAAACGCGCATACTTTCCCTGAATTTTTTTGAGTTTTCGTATTTCCACAACCCCTTGGCTGGAGATTGATGACAATGTATAACTCTTTATTCTCTGTTTCAACATGCTGTCTTGGACTGCTAAAAGAGGCAGAAGTTGTTGCAGTTTCCTAATATGGGCGGGTACATCAGCAGGCCTTCTAAACGCCTTAATAATGTCTGATATGACGTCCATTATGTCTGATCGAATGTTATTTGTAAAGCTTGATTTGTGCTAGCAGAGACGACGGGTAATCTGCAATGTTGAGAAATTATATATAAGCTTACAAAATTCAGTGCAACATAAGGAAGTTTGAATGTTAAAGTTGTGTTGTTGTAACCAATATTTCCTTTAATTTTTAAAAATGTGTATTTGTATCATTTATAGATGAGGCCTATATTTGGAACAACTATACGTAAATTTGTGGTGAATGCACCCAGTGGGCCATCCTAATTTACCTGTTGCTTTATATTATTCAAGTGATATTGTGGTACTTTACCTTCACTCACATGTGCTGTTGTTATCGATCGGGGTACAGTGTAGTTCTCTTTATTTGGTTCTTTGAATTATATTTTGATGTATGTATCAGGCAACAGTCCCTGTTAAGCGCTTGATTTTGTTGTTGTTGGGTGGTTAAATGTGGCTTGTATATTTCTGTATTATGATTACCGGCCAATCTGACCGGTATTGAATTATCAACGGGGCACACTTGAATTCTTATAAGGCATCGGCATTGTTGGAGTTATGGGTAGATATCGTCGGAATAAGGGTGGTACGCTATTTCAGTAAGAATAGGTTGGTTTTTTTTGTAATAGTCGTTGTAGCGAGCAACTGGCAGTTGAGTGTTTTATGAAATTCCAAGCAACATATTTATAGTTAGCCAAAGGACACATTGTTTAGCCAGTTATTGTGCAGCAGTTGTATTGTTAGAACGCATTGGCGTTGTTTGAGTAATGGCAAGAGATTTTTGGAGTAATGGTGGTATGTTATTTCAATGGTAAGAATAGGTTGGATCTGATTCATAATACTTGTTGTAGTGTGTAATTGGTTGTTGTCTTTTTTTCAAATTTTAAGTGGCATGTATTAAGCAAGCCAAAGGACATACATTTTGGTACCTTTTTTTGCCGGTCTTTTTTTCTTAGTTGAAGCGGCATGTACTATCCACGTGAAAGGACATATTGTTTGTGTCCTTTTTCGTCCGTCTGTTGTACCCGTAGTCGGCGGCGACATTGTTTTATTATTGGACAACGTTTTGGGGATTAAGGGTGGTGCGTTATTTCATTGGTGAATACGTTGTTTTTGAATTATAAATAGCGAGTAACTGGAAGGAAGTGAAAGGACACACCGTTTGAGGCCTTATTCATATTGAATGTAATTATGCCTTTTTTAACAGTGATGTGATATTTTTTTTTAATGAGTGGTGGTATATGGTGTTATTTATTTCTATTATATCTACGTTATCGAATACATTGGGGGTTTATCTATTATAGTTCTCATTTTAGTTTCAGTTGATGTGAATTGTGTTTATTTTGTGGCGTTAGATTCCGGTGAAGGTATTGGATTGTACAACTCGTTTGCGCAAAAAACTAAATCCCTGGCAGAACGCAACAAAAAAGCTAAAGAATGGAGTACTTTGCCTCGAACCTTGCTTTCTATATGTGCAGTTTCTGTCTAAATTAGAGACGTGCATTAGGTTCTCGCATTGTCGTTTGAAATTTAACTGGTTATTAGAAGGTAGACTTCATATAATCAAGAGAAGGTGGACATGAACACATTGTAAATATAGACACATTTTTGAGTGCGATATTTGTTGGAGTTGAGGAAACATAATACCCAATCATTCCACAGATGAACAACTTTTGCTATTAAATCACCCAAGTATGTACTCGTAAATTAATAATACCCTGACAAACAAATAAGGAGCTAGTTGATTACAATAATACTTCTACGGTCCATAACATATTTAATTGTAAATTGGGTTCTAAATGTGCATTTTTTTATGTGTCTCCATCACTTTCTCCATCGAGGTGTATCAAGTGCTTCCTTTTCTTTATCAGCCTTCTTGCATAAACTTTTGTGTTGCCATTGGAAGTCCCTTCCCCGTCGGCCGGATGTTCTTCTGAGTTGTTGGTGTGTGAACCTCCTGACTTTTGCACATGTGAGTTCTGCATCGCTTCCATTTTGAGTTTTTTCTGTAGTTTAAAATGCATATTTAGCAGTAAAGGGGATGTAAGTTGGACGATTAGCTTTGGAAGTCAATGATGAATGAATTAAAAAGATAGGTATTAAAATGTAACTGATAACATTACCTTTTTCTCTTTGTTAATGCGGTGTTTGCAATTCCAATTCTTCATCCGGCACAAACACTTGTGTAACCGTATAATTTTCTAGCCCCTCTTTCAAATTGAAGTTGGTCAATTTAAGCTTGAATACAAAATCCTTGTCGCAGAGGCTCTCAATTAGCGATGGAACATGCGTATCACCTTTGGACATTTGATTTACCAACTTAGAAGCCGAAGTATCGAGCAACTTTTCCGCAACCCCATTAAAAAAGAACCAAAGTTGTCTTCCCTCCGTTGTCTTTTACCTTAATGTGTATTTTGTACCTGTGTGTGCCATAAATAATTAGTGTTTGAATAAAAGTACGCATGTGGTAGATTGTTAACTGTTTCCATACCTAACCAACGGGAAGTCACATTCTTTTCCGCACTTATTGCAGGTGTAGACGCCATCTTTAGGTTCTATTTTTTTGTTGCATAAGTTGCACGATATGTAGTGCCAACCAAAGTAGGTATCTATTTGACTGATCTGAGCACGCAATGTAACAAAACATTCCTAGTAATTGAAAAGAAATTAGTTCAATATGCAGTCAAAGTATGTTGATCTAATGTATTGTTCATAAGGTACGAAGGTTGCTTAACGTACTAACCTCTATGTCATAACTCCAGTCCGAATCCAACAACTCAGTAATAGTCATCCGGCTCTGGAACATTGCCTCCGCAATAGGTATGTTACTTCCATTACCACTCTCAATTGTTTGTATGTGAACGGGTTTGGTTGCAAACTTTTGAATCAATGAGGTGATGTGGTCCATTTGAAGATTCACATACGTTTTGGTTGCTGCTGTGGTGGCAAAAGTAATTTCACCTGTTACAAATTAGCTTTACACGTTACGTTGACCTAATGACGTTAAAACTGCACTTAACCAATATGCTCTGTAATAGTATTTACCTCTGAATTCCTTCACTGTTGTTGCCGTAATAATGACAATGTATGGACCGGATTCAGGGGGGAATAAGTATGGGTAAAATCCTTCACCGTAATCCTCCCAAAGGGTTATTTTGGCTTTGGCAGACCTATCCTCGCTAAACAAACAACGTAACCTGTTAGTGTTATGCTTGATGTTTTGGGGTTACTTTAATATAAGCGAAAATAATCAGATGAGATTTATTAATTACGGATCAGTAAGAATGCGAAGGTCTCGTTTTTTCCACTTTGAACCAACACTCTCTAGATCACCTATTCCACATAAGCATCCGACCACATCTACAAGTTCAATAGGGAGAATATTAAGTACATACGGGATGAATGTGTGTTAGATAATTGAAGTGTAAAAGTTTACCTGATAGGTAGGTGTTGTTATTGACCCTTGAGCGAACAATGTTTGGCCGAATAAACTAGAAGCCATTTTTAGGGATATTAACAGTATCATCATTTATTTTTTTGTATGGCAGTTATCCGCAGAAAAGTGATTTTAACATCTGATTGTACGGGTCTGTATTCACCCATACTTTCAACGACCTTAAAGTTCCTGATAATGATCACAGAGCCTTCGGATAAATTAGCACGAAATCGGTTGACTTGATTCTTCCAGATTACCGCATGTACCAAAGTTCCCTGTTACATGTCAGTTGGTAAGTGCATCCGCAATAACCTGACCAACAACAATGTGGTTAAAAGTTGAAATGAAAGGGGTATTACCTTTTCGTCAATAAGTATCATGTCTAGACTTATCATCTCTTTGCTTCTCTTGTAGTTTTTTAAATTCCCACATCCGGCAAACTCGTACCTTAACCAACCAGTCATCCCTTGTAGTATCCAAATCTGAAAGAAGTGAATAGGCCATATGGTTGTAACAATTAAAGGTTAGAGGAAGAAGAAATGTGTGCTTTTAAAGAAAGGCAGAGAGGGGTTATCGTTAATGGGTGTCTAGGAGTCTGCAAGGCATTATATAGACATTGAGGGAAATTGAAAGAGGGTTGCAACTGTTAGGAAGAGACGTATTGTTTTGGAAGTACATTTACGAAGAGGCGCAATTTGGAACAACCGTTAGGTCCAGAAGTCGTGTTTAGCAGAGATGTTAGGAAGTGACGCATTCTTTGAGAAGAGTTGTATTTAATAACAATCTGTGGAGCCGTGTTTGTAGTATTAAACAGGCTAGTTGCAGGTTTGATTAGGGAGTTGGAATTTCATTCTATAGTGGGCCTTAATAGCCCTGAGTTTGATCAAATAATTAAGTGAATCAAACTAATCCAGCCTAGTCGTAGATATGCTATGGTGTTGACTTAAACAGAGACTTGTGAGGTATACATAGAACACTGAAGGCATGGGCCTTTGCATTGATTGGATTTAGGGGGTAAAAACATGTTTATTTGTTAACATTTTTATTCTCCCGCTCCCTCTTAAAATACATCCAATTACAGGTAGAGGGAGGGTAAACTCGGTGATAACAAAATTGTCCATGAAATTGTCTTGCCTCTTAACTGATAGCCGCCGTCAACAGTTGGGGATAAAAATTCACTACTATGATTTACTATGATGGATTAATTCTCTATAGTTTATTGGTTTAATCCTCAAACCAGATAAAAATGAAGTTTTAAATATGGGATTTAGTGTGAAAACTTTGATTTTTAATACTCCATTTTGTTTGAAATCTTTAAATTAATGAACTTTGATTATATACAAATTCTATAAATGCGGAAGATCTTATTTAAAGTTGGAGACATCCAGGTAACCTTTTGTAAGCATGCAATTTGTAATTGTAATTGTAGAGAGTTTTACGTTATGGTAAAAAATGGTATTTTGGGAGACAAACGTGGACTTTAACAGGCCAACGTAAAGTTAAGGTTGACTGGTAACGTCATCAGTTTTGTTGGATTCTGAGATTGGAAGATATCTGTATCGACGTTTCATAA